AAACACACCCCCCAAAGCAGCCCAGGACTTGGGGAAGCTGTGTGCCTCCGGCTGGGGCACTGCCGGGGTTTTTATTTTTGACTATTGTGTGAGCTGGCCCACAGTCAGGTGGGGCCGGGGCCAGGAAAACAGAACTGGTGCAAGGAGCGCAGCCAAACCCCTCGCTGAGCCCGGCCGCTTCCCAGCAGCGCGAGCGCCGAGGGGACGGGGGGCCTGTGCAGCTCGCGCTGACTACGTGGCAAAGGGCAAAGCTTTTCCATAGTGTTGCAAGGCACATACTTTACAGGGGTGTATTGCTCCTCACCCTCCTCCTTGCTTCCCCCGAGCCGTTTGTCTTGCTGCAGGATCAACCTTTATTTCCTAGCAGCCACACACACGCAAATAATAATACTAACAACAATAACAATAATAAAAACCCACATCAGTCAGTCAGTGGTTCAGACAATGAAGGAAAGGCAAGGACGGACTGGCAAACTGAAGCCCATCATCCCCTGTGCTAACTGCAAAGGGGAAAAAAATAACGTAACATGCTGAAGTCATTAGGAAAGGCCGATGCTCTGCTGGCGTCTCGTCCCAGCTGAGCACCACTGAGCACCGTGGGCTGGAGCCTCTCGGCCCAGCTCCGGCCCGGGGTTTGGCTGACAAACTTGGGACCAGTTAACAGAGCCCTGCAGTGGGCTTTGTAACAGCAGCAGTCGACTGCAGCAAGAGCCATGTCTAGTAGCTCAGTGCTCAGGGCAAATGGCACGCTCCCCTGCTGCGTGACGGCTGGCTGTCAGTGCTGGCAAGGCAGAGAAGGGGTGTGAGTGCATACGTGTGCGTGTCTCTGTACGTGTATGTCTGTGTTTTGGGAGGATAGTGCTGTGGCTGTGTCCCACTGAACTGAAGCAGCTCTTCTGTCCTGACAGGGCCAGTGCTGCTCTGTAGGCTGTTAGCTGTGAAAAGCATTAAATATCACCAAAAAAAAAATCAAAACAAAAAAACTGGAGAGGAAAAAAAAAAAGGAGAAAAAACAAACCCAGCAGTACAATCTTTAGAAATGCATGTGCTGCACTGAATCACCACCCTTGGGCCATGCCCCAGCCTTTCGCCACGCAGCCGCGTGGGCTGGGAAGGCCAGCAGCAGTGTGCGGGCGAGCGCACACCGGTGAGGGGTGGGTGGGTGTGAACACTGCCTGGGAGGGTGGCCCGTCCCCGTCCCACCCAGGCACCCTGCTCCCGGGGGTCCAACCACGGGACTTCCCCCCAGTAGGGTGACCCCCGGGAGCGGGGCCACGCTTCACGGCAGTGCGGGTCATTCTGCTTGTAGTGCTTTGGCTGTTAGTGAGGGATCCCACCGCCATGGGTGTGGCGGCCCCCCGGCACCGCTGCAACCTTGGGCAGCAGCCCACTGCCTCCCAGCAAAGGAGGCCATGAGGGGAAGGAATTTGGGGCAGGTGTGTGGATGTGCATGGGGGTGATGAGAAGCGCGGCTGTCCGGCCAGGCGCAGCACAGTCACTCTGGCAGAGAAGGGATGCTCCTGCTCCTGGGGTGCAGGGCCCGGGCTGGGGTGGCAGGCCCAGTGTGGAGTGCAAGGCTGTGGCTCTCCCTGCACCTGCAGCTCAGAGCCGGACACTGCTTCCTCCTGCCGCCCTGAGCACAGGCCTCTGCAGAGGTGTCTCTGGGCAGGACCCCAACACTCAACACCTCAGGAGATGGTTTAACAGGGACCAAAAAAAACAAAACCCAACAACAAACACCCCCCACCCCCACCCCACCCCACCCCCAATTTTGGACAGTGCATAAGTAGCAAGGGCGGCCCGTGCTCCTCCGGTGCCAGCCCCAGGCACCGACTGCTGATGCCAACACCAGGACTGCGGCAGCGTGCATCACCTGCACCCCTGGCACTGGGCATCACACGCTGTGTGGATCCCCAGGTCTGTCCCCAGCCAGGTGGTGGCTGAGCCGTATAATCCCTGGGCAGGATGTGGCCATTGGGTAGGGTCAGGCACTGGAATGGGCTACGTGGGGTCTGCCCTTGCCGTGTTGATGTGCCAGGAGCCCCAGGGACCTGCCGGCAAAAGGGCTCGGCCTGGCAGCAGGACCTGCTGCATGCTGCGTGCACGGGCCATGCCGCTAGCTGCAGGACCTACCGCAGGGATTTGACAATAGCCCTCAGGGCATGGGGCATCTCTGGGACAGAGGGGGACGCGCTGTAGAAGGTGTCAGTGTGATTTCTGCGCTGCTCTCGGAGGTATGGAGGGACAGATGAACTTTTGATGTGGAGGATCCTGGTGTCCATCACTTCGCAGTCGATCTGCATCATCACCTCATAGTCCTGCCCATTGATCACATTCTCTGCAAAAGTAAGAAATAAAAAAAAAAAAGTCGAGTTAGCCCTGCAAGCTGCTGACCCAATGGCACCAAAAGCAGAGTTTTCTGGACCGTTTTTCTTTTTGTCTGGCGCAGGAGCTGAAGCAAGGGAACTCCCATCCTTTTTTGCAGCTCCACACGTGGATCTCCATCTCACACAGCACAGCCCCAGCCTGCTTGTGACACCTCAAAGGGCCCAGGCCACGCATAGCATGTGCAGTCACACGGAGACATTAATGTAAGTCTTGTCTTTTCCCTTCTTCATCTGCACATAATTACCGATGGAGTTTGCATTGTATAACATTTATTACTGACCTGTTGTTCTTGAGCCACTGAAGTGTAGAGGTGATTGCAGATAGGGTTCATTTAAGCAAGCTGAATGTTCCACTTTTACTTTCTTTTTATTGGTTTAAGAATACTGTAGCCGTCTTGACACTAAGGATCTAGAGGAATTTCTTCACCAGATTAGTAATAAAAAAAGTTAAAATGTGACCTCTCAAAAGAATTAGCTGTGCCTCATTATTGTGATGACCTGGCTGTTGTACTGGCATGACGTTGTGGTGACACAGGACAAGACCATTACCCCGAGAGACCTCTGGACACAGGGAGACCCAGGCCAGCACATGGGACCCCAGCACAAGTGCTGCAGAAGCTCCTGGGCTTACAGGCAGAGGCTGTGCACATGGCTAGCATCTGCTGCCTGGATTTAAAGGTGGGAGACTATTCCCTGCATAGACAGTGTGTCCAGGAATGTGAGAGTCAAGATCGGATTTCCAGGCATGACCAATCCTTGCCTTTCAGAGTCAGAAACGCTGACTGCCATCAGCAGGGTTTTCTTTCTGTGCTAAGGAGGATGGAAGATCACCTAATGGAAAGCGTATGGACTGGAGGAATGCAATATACATTACTAATTTTTACTGTTTTCCTGGATTAACTCTGACTCTGGATGACAGCTGACAACCGTGGCCAGACCCTCTTGTACCCCACGCCACCTGTAGAAGCCATTAGATCAAATATGTCTGGTATAGTAATGAAAAGCAGGAGCAAACCCTTGCTAAGGGGGCTGAGAGCCTGCAAGGGAAATCAAAGCTCCCACCTGCAGAAATGAAATGGAAAAGGCTCCGTATGTGCCACCAAGGTCAGGAGCAGCTGTGCATGTCTCTGTGCCGCTGATCCAAACACCCTGACAAGCACCTCGTCCCTCCTGGCCTGATAAAGCCCTGCCATAGCTTCGGGCACTGTGTCCCCAGCTGGGACCGCTTTTGAGCCCATCCCTCCAGGTCACCCCTTCTCTCCTCTGGATGTGCTCCTGCTTCTCACCCACCAGGCTCAGGACCAGACGGCAGAGAGGGCTGGTCTGGTGGTGCTGCTCAGGACAGGGGCTGCACGGGGCAGTTGGACGCACAAGGAGAAGCTGGCAGGGGTAAGAGCCTGGCCTTTGGGCTGCAGAGAGCAAATGGGAACAGATTGGCTCCCTGTGACACAGCTAGCTGAAAACACAGCTCCTCAGCTCTCACGGTGCAGGGACGACAGCTTGACAGGACCCCAGCTATGTGAGAAAATGTGCTCCAAATCCACAAGTGGGTGAGGTGGGACAGTGGCCAGCACCAGGAAAACCTCTCAGTAAGGCAGCAAGCCTTTCCCGCATCTGCCCGCAGCGGCCAGCACAGCGGGCTATCATTAGGTTCCCCGGCATTGCACGCCACGGAGGAGAACAGCAACCCCAGAGAGCAGCCCATGCGAGGGAGGGAGCTGCGCTGCGTGGGTGGCAGCAGGGAGCATGGGAACCAGATCAGCCCAGCTCAGCCAGCCGGGATCTGGCTTCTCCCAGCGCTGACACAGGTTTCCCTGGCGACTAAAAGTGGACCACAATTAAGGAAGCCACGGCTCTCTACCCTGTGCAAGAGGTGCTGTGTCTTCTGAGGCCACCACAGCTGAGACACATAGCTGGGAGGAATCACGCTCACAAGGAGCCTCTCTGGCTAGCAGGCATGGAGGGGACTCACACACCCAACTCGGACATTTGCAAAGTGCCTGAATCCTGCCCCGTGCATGTGAATTAGCACAGGAGTGACACTTGGGTTTAAAGACAGGTATTTGATTCTTTCCCCTTTTGGGCTGAAGGCACTGTCAATGAAAAACTGCTGCAGGAAGCCTCTGCAAAGGGTCTTGTCTCACAGGGATGAGGCCAGTAGTGGGAATGGCTCAATTGCCACTACAGATATTTGCAGCAGCCTTTCTCATTACCGTTAGCACCAAAATGATGTAGAAGACGAGGTGGGATTTTCCCCAGAGACAGCGGTGGCTGCTCAGCGATGCTGCTGGGTGCCTGGACCAGCTGTGTTCAAAGGAGCAGTGTGAAAGCCGTGCCAGCCCCAGGGCGCCGGGCCACCATCGGAGAGCCCGGCCCAGCCCACCCCTGCCCAGACGGTGGAGGTGATGCTCTCAGCACAACAACAGGCAACCATGACCCGAATGCAGCCGGTGCAGCCCGATGTTTGGAAAGACTAGCTCACTGTCAAAGGGGCAGGCATTGCAAAAGTGCTTCCACATGGCTCAGTCCCGAGCTCGATGCCATTAAACTGTTCCATGATCTGGATGAGGAATAGAAAGCATACTTGTAAGATTTCTGGAAGATGCTAAACTGGAGAGATTTCAACCACCTTGGAGTATTGGATTAGACTGCAGTTTCAATAAAAGAGAGAAGCTGTCCAAAACCTTCAGGATGCATTTCAACCAAGGCCAGAGCAAAGTAAAATGCTCAGGAGAACTGGAAAACAAGAGTACAAAATGGGGCCCGGCAGAAGACGTGCAGAAAAAGCTTGAGGACTGCAGAGGATTGCTGTGCATAAGCCAAAAGCATGATCAGGTTGATTTCAAGAGAAACAGATTTCTCTTTGACCACGTTCCTACCAATAATGTGATGTAAGCCCTGGACAAAGTTACCTCGGGAGACCAGAGGATCTCTACAACTGGCAGTCTTTAAGGAAAGGCTGGATGATCACCTGTCAGACAAAACCCAGGGTACCTGACCCTCCCTCTGCACAGGCACAGGGACTCCCAGTCACTCTGGTCCCTCTAGCCCTGCCTTTCTGTGAGCTGCAGGTGCCTATTCATGACTGAAGCCCCTCAGGGTAGACTGCAACCCATCATTACAGACCCCAGGTCCACAAAGAAGCCAACACGTGTCAACTGAGCTGTGATGACTGTCTGTCTGCTCTTTGCTCGTGACAAAGACAAGGTAGTGCAACCTGGGTGAAGCCCTTTCAGTGAGATCTGCCACAGGGTAGGGAGGCACACCAGCCAGCACCCACGGCTCTGACAGCAAAGAGAACACTGCTGTGCCATGTTTCCTTGATGGCCAGTTTAAATCCAATGGCTATGTAGTTGGACATGTTCAGCTGTGCTGTTCCTAACCCCTTATCAGCAAGCGGGCAATACCTGGAGTAGAGCTGTGGGTTCTCCAGGGGACCCTGTGGTCTGATCTCATCTACAGAACAAGTCCACAATTTTGCCTTGTGATTCCTGCATCAGATCTTTTAAAAATAGCCCGGTCAGGCTTTCTTTCCTTCCCCTTCCATGGGGCTGTCCAGCAGTACCAACATCTGGGAGACACCAATGGAGCACGAGGTGGGTTTTCCAGGGACCGTGATGAGCGTTGAGCTTGGCAGTCGAGTGTGGCTGATCCCTGGAGGGCTCAGTGCACATAAACAGCCGTGTCCTGCACTGCCTCAGGACCCATCACACCTCACAGCCCTCTGCAGGGAGGCGGACACGGGCAGAGGTGTCTGTGAAGGCAGGACTGACAGCCCAGAGCTGCTGCCGCTGCTCGTTTGTTGGCTGGAAGGTCAGCGCTGCCAACCTGTGTTACACGGGGCTGCTTAATAGCCCAGAGCAACACTGACACTGAATTATTTCTAAAGTTTATTGTGTTGAATTACCTATGACTGATGTTTTGTGGGATTACATAAGTGAAAACACAGGAACGGATCTCCTGTAGAGGTGTCTGGATTTATAAATAGATTTATTGCTCCTCTTTGAAGTGCAGAACATACAGCCATTCATATGGCCTCAGGCTTAAGAAGCTATCCTTCCCAGGCCAAAAGGCTGTGTTGCACTTAATTATTTGTTAACCATACGATAGACTATTTCACATTAACAGTAAAGGTAATTGTGCAATTGTGCCAAGCGTGGCTGTTCTCTGACTGCACCTTCTCAAAGAAAGAGGCTCGCTGGCTCTCGCAGTCTGTACCAAACTCCCAGCACGAGCTTGGTCTAGGAAACAGAAATCTAATTCTCCAGCGCTGCTGTCTATGGTTTATGGCAGCTCCTCTTAAAAAACAAACATGTTGCAAGACCCAACTGATGAAAGCTGAAGTCAGCAGTCCAAACCAAAAACGTTTAGCAAATAAGGCTGAGGGTAATAACTACTGTTACAAATTACCAAAGATGATGGAAGATTGCCTTCATATTTGAAGTACTAGATTTTCAAAACTGTCTTATTAGAAAGAGCATAAACCCAAAGTCTCCCTTCTCCCCTTAGTAGTACTGACACATATCAATCAGTTGAATGTTCAAATGTCCGTCTTTGAGATCAGGCATCTTCTATGAGAGATGCTGTGTTACAGAAAGGCAGAAGACAGGCAGAGGGCTTGAGAGGCAGGCAATGGAAACCCCAGCATCTGTTCTGCAGTAAGTCAGAGCAAGTGGCGATGTGAATTGTCTCTCTAGACTCAAACTCTACACATGTCAGTGGGCTGTTCGGCCCTATGGATGCAGGACAGGACAGGACAGGAACAAGTTATTCTGGGCATTTACCCTTTCCCACTTACATGCACCCTCCCCACAAAGCTTTGCTGGAGGAAAATGCTTGTCTTGAAAACTGCACAATTTGCAGAGCGGCTGCAACAGAGCTCCCCTGAAATACCACCTGACCTTGTCAAGGGTTTCAAGGCTGTAACCAACCACCATGGAAGAGCTTTGCA